ACTTATATCTGTTGTAAGGAGGGTTGGAAGTCAATCCTTCTTTTCTTTTCATACTTTTAATCTTGACTTTTCTTTCTTTCTTTCTTTCTTTCTTTCTTTCTTTCTTTCTTTCTTTCTTTCTTTCTTTCTTTCTCTTTTCTTTTACTTTTTAGTTTTTACTATTTTTCTTTTAAAATTTAATAACGTTTGTTAGAAAAAAGAAAAAAATGGTACTTGTAACAAGATGATACCTTGTGGAAATCCCTGGCTTGGGGTTAGAGATCAAAACGTGTCTAAAGGCTTATAACTGAGTACCAGAGCAAAAAAGATTGCCTGGCAGAATTCTGCACTTAAGTGTGCCAATAGAAATCTTTCTGCATGTATTGCAGACCCATTGCTATAGAGTTGACTTGGGTGGTATGTTGGTTACAAGTCATCAATGCAAATCTTAAATCCTTATACAGATCAAATTATAGAGTAGGCAATATTGTGTAGGAGGGTACATTAACTTGGAAATAGCTTAATTGTAGCCTTGTTCAAGCAATAGTTCCATCACATTTGGATCTCAGCATTTAAGGAGTGGTGATACTGGTGACACCCCAGAAGAACCAGTCTCCATGTATACAGCTCTCTTGCCTGTAGTGGGGAGACTTGAGGGCTTCTGTGTGAGCTGGAACTGTTGAGATTGATGCAGGAACAAGGCTTCCACTTCAGAAGGATTAGTAGCAGTTCATCATATTAAAAGTGAATGTAAATCCCATTAAGAAAGCGAAGGATCAGAATATGAGCATGAAATTTGTTTTGCCTATACGCTGGCATGATAGATTGGCAGTAAGAACAAATACAAAAAGGACAGGCGTGCTCAGTATGTTTTAGTTTGACTTTTCTTTCCCTCTCTGTAGTCAATCTGCCAGATTGTGTATAAAAGTACCTCAAGGCCATTATTCAGTGTTTGAACAGCAGCTGATGTGTTCATGCCTCTCTGAATAAGAGATATTAGAGCACTGCTTATTGGTTCTTTTACAGTGTGGGAATAGGCTGTCTGAAGTGTTGTTGTATGGTTTTATGTACTATAAGGTTATTTGGATTCTGAATGGTTATCTGCATGTCACAAAAACATGCATCATTTGCTTCTAAATGATGCATTGTATGGGAAGCATTGTATGAGAATGGGGGCCAAATTGTTGCATTCTAGATGATTTACAACTCGGAATTTTAAAGGTCAGTCCATGAAAAAATGTTCTAATTATATTCCTTGGCAGTTACAAATAGACCAATGAGCTTGCAGTCTCCCAGTTGTTAAAATGTGATTGAGGATTTTGGCCAGAGAAAACAAAAAGTTAAACAACACACAGACTTGACAGTTGAAAGCAGACAAAAAACTTGAGGTTAGCAAAAAGCATCAGTGGAGTGTGACAGAAGGAGCTATAAAGAAGAAGCAGAACTGCAGTTGTAGAAGAACAAAGATCTGGATGAGAAGACACTATAGGAAGGTCTCCAATCAGATTGTTAACTGAAGGCAGTTGGCTTTCAGAAGCTTGTAGAGTCTTTAGAGTTTAAGGTAGGTAACTTGATGGCCACCAGATGTGTTGGGGTAAAATTCTCACAGTCTTCTCCTTTGCATGCTTGGACTGATGGGAGATGAAGTCAAAATATCCAGAAGACACCAAGTTGCTTAGGCTTGCCTAAATTTGAATAACTGAAACTACGAGGGCAGATATGCCTACACAGAGATGGTTCCTTCTTGCAACAGTTCAGCAGCTTAGCTGTATGCACATATAGTAGGTCAAGGTGGATTCGTGCATGCTTGACACTCTGTGTGTGTAGTTTCCTATGTAGATCAGGAGTCTGAGAGCATGGGGAGGGAAACCTATTTCCTTACACGCCTTTATTCAAGTTGAATCAAAACTGCCTCAATATTTGTCTCTTCATAACATCAGATTTTGTTTTCCCTCCCACCCCTTAGGTCGAAATGTTTCTCCTAGCCTATGCTTTGCAGCATACCATCCAGGTTTATCGACTGTATAAGTACAGAACAGAAGAATTCATCACCCTTTATCCCAATGATCCGGAAGAAACCTGGCCTTTGGTAACCCTTATAACAGAAGATGACAGACATTATAATATTCCTGCTCGAATGTGTGAGGAGACCAGTGTATAGTAGATATTCCCTTCCAGTTATATAAACTGAATAAATGATGTAAAAGTAAGCTTCTTAATTTCTAATATTATTTGGATTGTGACAGTTAATTTAACAACACTTTGGATCAACTGAAATCAAATACCTTACAACATATCTTTCACAAAATTATCTTATAAACTCCATAGTTTTTCCTGTTTATTTGTGATATTGCTTACTTGATTATGTGCTATCAAATCGGTGTCAATTCTTAGTGTCCACATAGATTTTCTCCAGGATGATCTGTCCCTAATTTGGTCCTTCAAGTCTTCTAATGGTGTACTCATTGCTGCTGTAACTGAGTCCATCCACCTTGCTGATGGTCTTCCTTTTTTTCTTTTTCCTTCCTCTTTCAGTATTATAGACTTGTCTAGAGTATTTGTGGTATACATTTCTTAAACAAGATTAATGAAGATGGAAACATTGCTGTTTTTCCCCAAACAATGAAGTCACCTATTTCAGTATCAGTTACTTAAAAAAACAAAACAAAACAAATCTTCACCAAAAATTATGGTAGTCAGCTTTTATAGTCTTCGTTATGCTGGTCAAAGCATAAAAATAATTTTTGTTCAGTATCCTTGCTGGATGTAGATGGATGTGTCCACAAGGCATTCAGAATATCCTCATTTGCACTATATATGAATGTGAATACACTTCCAGATGTGCATGTGAGAATGCATGTGCCCTGCCATTTTTTCAGCTACATACGAGTTTATATTGTCCATACCTAGGATCAAGACATTGTAGCTTAAGAACAGCTGAAATGTACCACCGCATTACTTTTTTGTTTTGGCCTTCTGTACTCTTCATTTGTGGCAGTCAATGTAAGAACTTTAGGCCAATGTTGTATTTGCACAATATGCTAAAACTCATAGTTTACTGAATTAATTCAATTGCATAGGTTTCACAATCCATTGAACTATGCTCTAAAATAACTGGCTAGTTATTAACTGTAATTAGGCAATCACATTTCAAGCTAATGCATTGTGCAAATTCAGTTTAAAAATTGGAAATCTGGTATTCTCCAGAGTTTTGGATTGCAATCCCCATAAACACAATTGTCTATTGGTTGCTTTCCTCCCCAACCTTCAATCTTCAATGAGAGATACATAAGAAAGCTGATTGAGTCATCTTCACTCCTTAGGCAACCTTGGTTGGGGTTTACTTCCCCACTAGAGAGAAAATAAGCTTATCTCTACTATATAGAATTGATTTTCCACTGCCTTCTACCAGGATGTTTGTCAGTTTCTCAATCTAGTATACAGCTCTGGAGTTCCCCATCCAAGTACTAACCTGGCCCAACCTGCTTAGCTTTATAACATTAGCCAAAGTGCTACCCCCTAGCTGGGCATCTTATGCAGATGGGTTCAGGACAAAATTGCAGATGGGTTCAGGACAAAATTATAAATAAATAAATAAGATGCCCAGCTAGGGGGTAGCACTTTGGCTAATGTTATAAAGCTAAGCAGGTTGGGCCATTTTATATATATATATATATAAAAAAAAAAAAAAAGAAGCCCCGCTAGGCATGGGCATATATATATTCGCAGATAGGAGGAGGAAGACAGGAGAACTGCTGTGGCTCTAACAAAAGCAGTATGAAAGAAAACAAAAAGCTGTAAAACACTTTTACAGGAATAGCAACAGGTTTCAGCTTTACCTCAGTGTAAACATCAAGCAGTAGTGACTCTACTCTTGCTTATTTACTCCTACATCAGTTCAGCTGAAGTCAATTGGATTTACTCCCAGATCTGTGAAGGCTTTATAGGTATATTGGATTAATTCACTTTATCACACCAATTGCAAATAGAGGCCAAGAGTTTCTTAGGCTGAGTAGTATCATTGGTGTTGGGGTGGAGGGAGGGAGGGCTAGAGATTGCCAGAGCAGATGGGTTCAGGACAAAATTACATTTGATGTAATTTAAATAAATATAGTAATATGATATCTCATTATCCATCACATTAAAATTACAGTACTATCTGGAGTCAACTTTTATGGGGCTTGCCTTGGGTTAACTGCACCCAAGGATGGAGGTTGTGCATTCCTCCAATATGGAACAGCTGAACATTGTTATTTGGGTGACTTGCCGGTAGGTGTCATGATAGGAAAGAGAGACTTATAAGTTCCCCATGTTTCTTTCATAGGATAGTTCCATAAAATGTCCACAGGGGAGCTCATGTTTAAAATAAACTCTTTGTTTTCTTTTAAGATGATCTACTTCAGTCTATAAAGTATGACTAATCTATTATACAGTATGGATTATCAACATACAACAATGGCTGTTTGTTCAAATGTTTTCCTAACTGCCACATTCAGAAGGTCATAATCCTATTTTGTAAAGATTGACACTGAAATCTGTTGTGTAAACCCTAAGCAGATGAGAAGAATTGGCAGTAATGGAACTGGTTCATTAGAAGGTTGAAATCTTCCTCTATTATTTTTAACTATTTCAAGGAGTTTGGTCTACAATGCAAGAAACATAGACTTTTGCATCTTCACCAATTTTCACTTAGACAAAACATGATTTTCTTCTGTAAGTGAAGTATTTTCATAAGCATTCAAAACATTAAATATCTGAATCAAAACTTATATTTTAAATTATTTTTCTGTGTAATTTAAGATTACCTTGCTGGTTTCTTTTAAAATAAACTGGCTGTTTTTACAAGTCATATTGGGTTTTTTGCCATTTCACCAGTTTCAGATGTTCATATAGCTAATCTGAGCAACTCTAAAGTGCAATGATTAGTCAGTGACCATTGGCTTGCATAGATTTACTTGCCACTTTTTTGGGGGGGGGGCATGATTTCAGAATTTAGGATCATAGAATTGGGAGAGCCATCTCTCTCTGCAGGCTGTGCAATAAAGAAAAAGGTATTGCATTCTTGCAGGTGGCCCTCCAGCCTCTGCTTGTGCATCTCCATCATGACTGGAGGTAAGCAGCCTGCTTTGTTGCTACAGAACTCTATTACGATTTTTCCCCTAGTCACCCATCTGACCAACCGAAGAAAAATCTGCTCCATCGTCTAGCAGATATAGAAAGTCTACTAGCATATCTTCCCTTAATTTTCTGTTTTGCAGACTTGACATCCCAGTTCTTTCAACCAGTTCTTCTAGGTTAATGCATTTTTCATCTCTCACCACACTGATCACCTTTTCTGGACACGTTCTGTTTCTCAGTATATATTTACGTATGTAAATATTGCATGCCATCCAACTTGATTGCTGCTCTGGGTGGCATACAATTTTAAAGCAATTTGAACAGAATCAAAAGAAGAGTCATTCGGAAAAAATCCACAATCCCTAAAAAGAGCCATATAAAACACAAGGGGCCTATGATCCACTCTAGCCCAAGTCCTGGGGGAAGAGCCAGGTTTTAAGAGTTCTTTTGAACAAGGTCAGGGTGATATCATTAACTGATGGCATCCTGCAATTTAAATGGGAAAGAATAGTGTAGCATTATTAGTTCCTATGAGCTGGACCTCATACATATAGCCTACTGCAGTCAATCTTCCAGCATGGATCATGTTGCAAAGCTGAAATGGCTTTGAAGTCAGGCAGAACCGTTCTTCTGAAAAACCACTGTCTTCCTCACATACCTGAGTTTAGATGTTCAGATTCCAGATTATATGTACTCAACATCTTCCCAGATATTTTTTTTAATGAAATTTTGCATGGACATTCAGGAGCTAGCCCTATAGGACTACATTTATGTTTGCACCATACGCTAAGCCCCAAAGTTCTTCCATTTTCTTTTAACCAAGCCTTGAATCTTACCAAGCTTTATGATCCTGAAACAGGATTTTTTGAGTAATGCAAACTGGCTATTGCACCCAAGGTTTGTCCTAGCCTATTGAGTCTGGTTTGTGCAAACCCCAGACAGCGGCTGTTGGCTTCGAACAATGCAGTAAACCTCAAACTGCAGTTAAACAGCAGTGATTGATGGCAGCTGAGTTGGAAGCATGTGAACCACGTTCTGCAGATATAACCCAGGAGAGTAGGAATTAAATTAGAATACAATGCTTGTATTTTAGTTTATGCGTAAGTACCATTTTATTAACCATCCTGAAGCAACTCTTCTGTCTAGAGATTTTGAAAGTGAAAAAGGAAATCTTAATAACCCCCTCCCCTCTTTTTGTGCAGGGCTTAAAATGTTGATTGTAACAATTCAACCAATGAACTAAAATGACAGGTTGACAAGCACCTGGAGATACGTTTGCCACATGTAGAGGCTGGTTTGTTATTTAGAAGCTTTTCTACATTTCTAGCTTTACCTTAGTAACTGAAGTTTAAAAACATTTCTTCTACTTGAAGGCAAAACAATCTTTTGCAGCAACTTCACACCGTCACTAAAGAGAGTCTCTGTCAAAAGGCTTTGGGATCTACTTTAAGACTCATGTTCTTGTAGTAGCACTTCTCCAAGAGATGTGCCGGACATCAGCATCCCCATTCCTCAGCCAGTTTAGCGATGATGCTGAAACATGGTGGGAGACAAATATGAGACTGAGGGCAACTTCAACCAACAAAAATACCAGACTTTGAAGCACGTGAAGAAACTAAGCCCCAAGTTCAGAACCAGCCTTAATATAGTCCATAATGTGCTTCAGCCAGAACTAGGAGAAGTCGCATTATTCAAAATGGTTGCTGGGTGTGTGTCCCTGCTTAATATAATGAACAATTCCTTAGAGATTCTCAGGTTGTACAACTTGCTAGGTTCAAATGTAGTTAGTTAATTTGTGGATCAGGGCTTTGTGCAAATTCAGACAATTCAACCAGTATGGGTAGTTTATAATTCCGTATACTGCACAAACACAGGAAGTGGGGTTAGTTCAATAAGCCATGAATTAACCATGTTAGTGTGTTGTGTGATCATGGCCATTCTATATGCGACTATGGCTTTAAGACTAATTTCTAGCAAATATTTTGTGCTCTGGTATAGTAGATAGTGGCACATTTTCTGAAGATTACTCTGGGCTCCCTGCATCATTTACTTAACCATTCTGTGTGCAGAGATAGCCTTGGTCCCTTTAGGAAGGCAATGGAGATCATCCCTTTTTTCTTTTTTTACTGTGAGTTGGATATGAGGGGCTTTCCTAGGGTTCTTTTTGTTTTTTAAACTGCATAATATTTTTATTAACTCTATTAACAATTGGTTTTATGAGTGCTGTTTGGAGATTACTGTAATCCACTTAGAGCCTGTTGATTTAGTCCGATACATACTATATACTAAACAAAACATCTAGCTAAATAGCAAATCATTTCTGCAGGGAACCTGTCCCAGGAATGCTTCCTCATTTAAAGTTCAATAGTCATAGTGCAGGAAAATGGAAACGTTTACGAATATTGGGTGTGCATAGACAAAGAAATAGTACTGCGCATACATTGACATGTGATATAGACATCAAGAATATAATATGGATTATATTAAGAAAATATACTCTTCTGTTCTTAACAAAGAACCTATTGTTGAACAGATCTGAAAGCTTTTATTCTGCTGGGGGCTTTTTGTGTTATCTTTAATCAATCACATTTCAGTTGCGAGCACTTTCAATAGATGTTGGTTTATCATCCAGGACTCCCTGGGCTGCTGGCATTCCCTATTATAACAGGAAAGTGTTCCCTACACACACACTTCTCTTGCTTTGGGTTGGCACTGGCGGGCTGGCTAATATTTTTTCAGTGGGGCAGATTTAGCTCTGAAGTTTCAGATGCTGACCCTAAACTGATACTATTTACCACTTTGTCTTATTTTATTTCCCTTTATGCAGAACTGAGTACTGATTTGCACCATTTACCAAAAAGAATACACATCTTTACTGTTAAGTTTCGTGCACAAACAAGCTCTGTTTTGTATTTTTTCTTTTTACTGAGCTTTGGAAAAAAAAAGACATTGCAACCTAAAATAAATTACATATAATGTACAATATATATATATTTATACACATTCAATATGTATATACACACATATATTGATATAGGATCGACATATTATCTTTAAAGATGTCTTCTGATCGAAACTATCCACTTCCAAAATCTAGAAAACAGCTTTGTGCAAAATTAAATTAAATTATTTCACTGTTGTAAAGCTTATAGAAAAATATAATTTGTCTAAAGAAACCTTGAAATGTTTCAGTATATTTTGTCTTGTGTTAAGATGTCATGTGAATTACCAAATTAACCATGGGTACTGAGGGTCCCACTTAGCCCCCTTAATAGTGCACAGCTGCATGACAAGAGCAAATACGGGTACTTCTTTCACTTTCCACATCAATAGCTGGAAGCTGGTGTTGTCCATGCTAACGCTGCGCTTGGACTGCAACAATCCTTGTTAGCTATGTAACTGACAATCCATGAAAGCCAATGGCCTGGCCTGTTGGCAAGCTCTGTAGCGCATCCAAGTCACCAAAGCATAAGTAGTCCAATCGGGTGAATGGGTAACAAATGAAACACTAATTCCATTGACAAAGACCCTCTTCCACAGCACTGCAAGATTTCTGTTTGGACCATTTTCCCAATGTAGACTTTGATTTATTTAACATCATTCCATTTTGGCAAGTTCCTCCTGAAGTAACATAGTCCTATTCAAAGTTTTCTAAAGGAAAAAGATATGCTATTATATTCGCTATACAAGTTAGCACATATAGCAGTTTGTACAAACAGCCTTATTTTTCCCCTACCCCACAAGAGAAGATTACTACTTTGGTTTAAATATTGGTGTGTGTATGGGTGTTGCCACATTCCTTTCCAGAAACAACCCTATGAACAAATGCTTGCCCATCATCTCAAGTATCCTGCATAGCACTGAGTATGAGAACCCCACTCTATCAAATATAAAGTTTTAGATAGGACACTAATATTGTAGTAAAACTTCTCATTCCACAATTGTTTTTAGAAAACAGTTACAAGCTTAGTGAACCATACAGATGGTTCACAGTTCACTACCACAGGAAAACTCTCTTTTGTACCATAGGTAATATAATCAACCCTAAACTCTTTATTTTGTCTTATTCTGCATTTATCAAGGTCTCTTTAACATATTTCATCTCTCATTTACTCTTTTTAACTCAGGATCTTGTCTGGTAGTGTTAGCAGTATACAATATATTACACTGAATGTTAAGAAAGCCAATTTCAGGGATCCGCCATGATACAGATCAACAGAGTAAGGTCATGTTCAGGCAAGCAAAATAAAGCTAATGTTTTCCCCCCAAGGTTGTATTTTTTATATTTCATTAACAATAATAAAAAAGAAATGGGGCAGGTAAGGAGAAGAGGCAGGACGGCAACACAATCCATGAATCAACAGAGAGACTTTGGTTGACAAAGGAGAATGTCCCAAGAACGGAAGCTTCCTCTATTGAATAGCCGCCAAGTCTTTTGCAATTGCATGAAATGGGAGAAAAAAATTCAGTTGAAGGGGAAGAAAAGAAAAACAGAGACTGTTCCTTTAAGTTCCTCATCCATGCCAGCATACTTGGTATGCTATGAATTCATTATCTGAAACCTTCAGAAACAAGGCCTCATTATTAAAAGTAAAGTGTGAGAGAAGAAATAAACTTCCTGTCCCTGCAGTTTTCATTTATTATTCATTGTCTTCTCTCATTTCTACGATGTCCGTCATTTCTTCTGTTGGAGGCATGTCAGTCATTGCTGAATCCTCACCTTCTGTCGCGGTCTCATTATCATTCCTCTTCTTTTTCTAGGTTGAAAAATAACAGTATTGTAGGAGATGGCCTGCAGGCAAGTTGGTTGCCTACCTGCCTGTGTTCCATTTAACTATCCATGCATCCATCCATAGATCTCTGGATGCTTAGAAAAACACACATGTAACACATAAAATTATAAAGCGTTAAAAGTAAATGCTAAATCATTAAACTCTAAAGAGATTTTAATCTTCTTAAACTGTAATAAAGAGGAAGCCAGCCTCAACTGCAAGGGCAATTTATTGCACAATGTGGGCCCTGCCATAGAAGAAGCAGAATCAGCTGCTAAAGTTGGACATATTCATGGTAAGACCTGCAGAAGGCATGCTCTTGAGGAGGGCAGGGCAGACTCTACAGGGGATCCTCCAAGTAATTTGGTTATGTACAGCATTATAAGCTAAAGTGAGCACCGTGAACTGGGCTTAGAAAGCAAATGGCAACCAGTGTAGGTGTTCCAACACAGGAGCGATACAACAACTCCTACAAGTGACACCTGCCATCCATAACACTCAATTTTGAGCCAACTCCAATTTCCAGATTTTGAACTGTGAAATTGTAACTGGAGCTGCCACTTCAGGCCCAGGTCATGCATGATATTAAATGTGGATGACCTCTAAGTGGGAGCAGGATGAGAGTAGCGTATCCACCCTTGCTTTGCCTAATTTCTCAGTGGCTTTTGATATCATTGATCATGGTATCCTTCTGGACTAGCTCAGGGGGTTTCAAGTTAGGGGTACAGTTTTGTGCAGGTTCTCCTCCCTCCTCTGAGCTCAATTCCAGTTGGTGTTGATAGGGTTAAAGTCCAGCCCATATCCCCTTCTCTATAGGGTTCCTCAGGGCTCAATGTCCTCTTCTCCTATTTAACATCTACATGAAGCTGCTGCATAAGGTCATTCAATGGCACACAGTGAGACATCAGTGTGCTGATGATACTCAGCTGTCTGTTCTGTCCTAGGGCAACTACATGATACTGTGGAAGTTCCATCTTGGGATCTGGAGGCTGTACGGGTCTGGATGGGGAAAAACAGATTTCAGCTCAACTCTAGCAAGACTTGAATGGCTCTGGATTTTATGGCCTCCTGGATCCAATGACTTTCCATTTCGTGGATGGCATGGCACTAGAAAGAAACAGTCTGCAATTTGGAGGTCTTCCTGGACTCAAGGCTCCTGTTCAAGCAGGTGTCAGCCATGCCAAGAGGGCTTTTGAACACCTTTGTGTTGTGTGCCATTTGTGCCACTTCTTGGACTGGGAAACACTGCTCGCACTCATATTTTGCTCATCTCCCAAGTGGATTATAACAATGTGATCTACATGGGGCTGCCATTGAAGAACATCCAGAAGCTGCAACTGGTCCAAAATGTGGAAGCTTGAACAATGATGGGCATATCTTAGAAAACCCATATTATATGTTCACTTTGTGAGCTTCACTGGTCTCCAATATGGTTCTGGGTACAATTCAAGGTGAAGGTTTGTCACTTATAATTCATGAGGCCAGAAAATTTGAGGGATTGCCTTTCTTCAATTGTTCCTACCCGCGCCATCAGGATTGGCAGGAGGGGCACACTCCGTGTCCTATCTGTTAAAGAATGTCATCTAGCAGGGCTCAGAAAATGTGCCTTTTCTGTTGCAGCATCTGCCCATTGGAACACTAAACCATCCAAGATTAAGTTGGCCCTGACCCTGCTGGCCTTCCAGGGTCAGTTTTTAAGATCTGGCTGTTTTCCCAGCATGGGGGTCAGGATTAACTGAGCCTATGAGGTTGGTTAATTTATTATTGATTTGTTTATCCTCAGTTGCTATTTTGTGCTTTTTCTATTTCCTTATATTTATTGTTGTTATTCTCGTTATTTGTATCGAAGTTTGTAAACTATGTTAGCTGCCCAGAGATGCTCTTGCAAGATGGGTGGACATATACTGTACATCTACGTGATAAAGTAAACAAGCTTGATTTTGAAGGAAAAAACTCCAGAGTAGACTTCCTGTTAGAGAACTGGCACAGAAGAGACTTCTGAACCTATTTCAGCCTTCCACGATCTGGGCTCCCCCCATGATGGCTATTGCTGAGAATTCTCAGAGGCGAAGTCCACTCATCTGAAGGGCACTGATCAAATTACTTCTAAAGTCATGCATAAGTTAGGATTCGGTATCTGATAGACCTCATCCTTCTATACCAGCCTGCTCTGGCACAGAAGTAACAGTCATTGCTGATCTCTGATAATAAATAAATAAATAATTTGAATTCATAATCACGGACATCTCATCTTCTAAGGTAGGCAGAGGACTTCTTTCACTGCTGCACTCATTTATGGGATGCCTTCCCTATAGAAGGCCACAGGTTCCCCATCTCTTTATCAGAATCAGATGAATCAAGCTTCTCAAGGAGTCAGGTAAGAATAACACAGAAGCTATGCTCTAACCATCCAGTACACCACAATAAATTCAGTCACATGCCTATAATAAACAGTCTTCAGTCCAATTGACTATTTCTGGACTTCAGAAATATCCCCACTACTGTAAGCTGAGGTGCAGCAGGTAAACAAGTGGTCTGTTTCTTGACAGAATTTCTTACCTGTTTTTGATAGACGTAACAAGCTGCTATTGCAACCATAGTTGATTCTCCTACAAAGCCAGCTAGAAGTGATCCTACGCCTAGAGTGGCTCCGTGGACCCTAAGAACATCAGAAGGAGATACATACTGTTTTCTCTTCCATACCTCAGACTCAATCAGTGTATTTCAGCAACAAAGATTATTAGAATGATGAAAGCTAAGTAGCGTTGACACTTGAAATATGGTTGTTTCTGTATAATGTTACAGGCTAAAAACAACTGCCTTGCCATCAGTTGCAAACCTTTTCCCTAGTCCAGTCATTGACTCTAAAGTTTAAATTCGATTGTTACCAGCACAATAATGATGCAGAAAGATTATCCTAGCTCTGAGGAAAAAAATGCAGGGCCAGGGAAACATATCCTCATGATGGAACAGAGGCCCCAAGTGGGAAAGGGCCCACAAAGAGAAGGGGGCCAAACTGATAACCAATAGTACAGATAATCTAGGAGCTGGGGACGCTATAGGACACAATAGGCAATCAGAGAAAAAGCAGGAACTTGAAACATTTTAAACAAGAATTATATGGCCAAAGCATATGCATATACAATGCAGGACCAAATAACCAAAAAGGGTCATGTGCTATTCTCATAAACAACAATATAGAAGTATATTATTATGGAACTGATTCCCATTCCTCCCCACTGCAATGTAGATAAGCAGCGTAAGAAAGTAGTGGGTGCAAATCTGTACGTATGCCTGATTCTTAGCCTGCCAGGAAGCCTAATCACAAGATCTAGGTTTTGGAGTCACCTTCCACCATCTTGCAGTAATACAGTTGGTTCTCCTGGCAGAAAAAAGAGAACCATGTGCACTCTTACGATATTGAAATGTGCACATGGTTTCCTCTGTGCAGGAAGAGCCCTGCCCCCCATCACACCACTACTTCTGTACATGGATTATGATTTCCATTTGAAAAGTGAATGTATATATTCTAAAAATCAGAGACCCAAAGTCATCATCTGATAGTCATTTAGTATTGTAAACTAAATGCAGCAAAATCACACATTCCGGAAATAATGCACAGAACTGAACTTTTCCATCAAAGCCTTCTTTCCAGATTAATATATAATTATCAGCCAAAATTAATGGGGAAAAGTGACTGAGGCAATCAATAGTTTCAATCAAGTTTTAAGAACACCTCATCAACCCCAAGCCTCAATTGCAACTAAGCCTATCTCCAAACTAAGGCTGCATTTGGCACGCATCTAGATGGAACTACTTCCAATTGTAATTCTTTGGAATGTTCTCTACAGCTTTACAAAGCTCCACCCACTTTAAAAACATTGGCTCTGTCCCAGCAGAGAAGTAATTTTATCAATGTCCAGCTCTCTGTTACTAAAAGAAATCGAGGAAAAGAGAAAAGGGGCCCATGCTCACAAAAGGGTTGTCTGCTCCAGCAAAACAGCTGTGGAAAAACCTGATTTAAGTTCTCACACACACACAAAGCATTTAGTGTACAAAGTTATCAATATGGTTTAATTGTTGGGCTGAATTTCTCAATAAAACTCTTCTGAAGTGATAGCAACAAATATTCTTGCCTCCCTTTATGCCCTTCTTTAACCAATAAGCACTTGTGTGTGCAGTTGAACTGTGAACTAGCCAAGCAGCAACTGGATGTGGATGGAGAATATTGTGGCTTAATGCAGTGGATAGTCTGATTTTGTGTTATAGATGGTATGGCATCACAGAAAAAAATGGAGAAGTGTAATAGAGTATAACTTACCCTAAATAGGGCAGCACAATCAAACTGGTGATGAGAACAATGATGCGCAGTACTGAGCTAGGAGCTAGGACAAAAGTCTTTTTCAGTGTCATCAACCATCCTGTCAAATGTGCTCTTACTGTGACTAAAAAAAAGAAGAACATGGAAAGAACAATTACTGGCAGCAAAACCTTGAATACATGCTCAACTTCTAAGAGGCAATTCTAACTTCTTCCAGAAAAAGAATTTGATTGCCTTTTTTCCTCAGGTATCATTTGATGTGAAGTTCTGGACTGGATAAGAAAATGAGCATTATTAAAGAAGTTGGAAACATAAAAGCAAGCAGCTAGAGTTACAATATGTTATGAGTAGTAAAACATGATTCCTTCTATTGTTTGAAAAATAGGATTTGCCAATAAAAAACCCTTTGGCTAACACAGTACTAAACTGTAAGATCCTCAAAATATGGTTTGTTGTCCTCCCAAACAATGCATCAAATTAAAGGTTTGATCCAGCTTCTTCAACCTAAAAGGTGCTGCATTAATACAGCTGGTCCCTGGCTCGGTCCTGATCAGACACAGGTCCTTTATTTTATCTTGAATCAATCTATATTAACTCAGAGTTTATATCTTAATTTAAAATGCTTGGAGAGTTATCCCTGATTGTTGTTAATGCAGAAGAAAGTATACATAGTTGAATGCCAGAGCAATAACTGGGATGGGGCAGTTCCATTATCTAATCTTTTAGTCTGCAATGATTCCCAGTTTATTTTCAGACCTAGTTTAAAATGCTGGTCTTAACCTTCAAAACTCTTAACCACTAGGCAATGGCAGAAGATCCCTCCGGAGGCTCTGTACTGTAAGTGCTCTTCCCAAGTGCGATCAGCTGGGCAACAAGGAAAGGACTTTCTTGGTGAGCCACTTGTGAAATTCTTTCCCCAGATACGTGTCTTTGTTATGGTCTTTTTTTGATTCCAGTGAAGACTTTTTTTTCAATTTAACCAGGCTTGGTTTAAACTGTGATTTTAATATGTGGGCTCTCAATATATTTGAAAGTCATTGTATGCTTACTTTTATTTTATTCTGTTCCCTTCTAAGTAAAAATATTTTTACTCTACCATTATTTGTCTTTAATATTAAATATGGTCAGATTGCTAAGGTGCCAGATTAGAAGCCAGAAGATCATGAGTTTTAGACCTGCCTTAAGCATGGAATCCAGCTGGGTGACTCTGGGTCAGTCACTCTCTCTCAGCCCTTGGGAGATGGTACTGGCAAGCCACTTCTGCAAATGTTTCCAAGAAAACTGAAAGGATTTGTCCCCACAGTCACCAGTAGTAAAGGCTGACTCGGTGGATGATAACAAATACATGTCTATCTCTCTAAATGTCTCTCTAAACATTATAGTTACAGTTATATATAACAATAGCTCTCACACACACGTAATCCACAGTAATAACTTCCTCTAAAATCCCTGCACAAAGTAAATTAAATATTGTCCTAAGAGTTCTAGATGAGCCTTGTTTTTGATGTGTGGCTTTTCGGTATGCAGAGTACTTTACCCACAAGCACACTGCAAGCCGAACAAGTCATAAAGATTGATCATTTCAGCTGCAGCTTGTATTTCTATAAGTGTTGCCTTTTGGTGGATTGTTATGCAAAGCAGAAAAAGCTTTGGATTAATGTAATGCACTGTTCATTCTCTGCTTTCTACATACCTGGAACAGGAAAGAAGGAGAAGATACGAAGAGGAATGACACAGAGCTCTGCAAAAGCAAAATCAACTCCAATGATGTCAACTAAGATCTTCTCAGACACATTAGGCGTCCAAAACATCACAAAGCAGAGCTGGGAGGGTCAGAAAAAAATAGTTCATGATTAGGCACCATCTCTTAATTAGCTAAATGTGCCACTAGCTTTCATAATACAGATTCTCAGCTTTCAAACTGGCCTCCAACTTATGTTTAGTGACTGCTAGGATCACTGGAGCTTAGCAGTCACTAGACCTACAAGCCTACTACTTTATTTAAAACAACATTCTTGTTCCATATTGTAGATATTTCTACCTGCTTGAAAAATTCCAGGTTTAACTGTCCTTTTCCAGACCCCAAAGCAACTCAGTTTTGTCTGCTCACCTAAACTTCTCTGTAAAAATATTGTGAAAATATGCTTTTAAAGCCAGATTAACATTTCCTTGTCACATCTTTCATTTAAAGATACTGCGCTGCTGATGTTCTTTCATTTTAATGGCTTCAGTCCTTCATTTTCAACCACAACTGAGTAGTTTGCAGGTTCAGTCAAAAAGCAAAAATGCTTCTAGTCTTTGGAAAATGAAAGTCTTCCAAGGACTTCCCACTGAGTAGCACTTCTAAAATATGTTTATAAACTGACACAAGTACAAACATGCATACACTTATAATAATGTATGCATCTTTCTAAAGGCTTGCATGCTTTATACATTTCTTGCAGCAGTTTATTTATTGGTTTTATTTTTTTAGACTACCAATCCCCACCTAAATCTCTGGGTGATATACAAATCCCAAAACCTAATAATAATTTAAAACATTAAAAACAAAATGATAAACTCTCATACTAAAATAAACATTTTTTTTTTAGAAAGGACTGCTTTTCTCCTGTTTTCAATGTACGATGCTTCATTTTTAAGCTTACCTTAAAACTTTAAAACTGTAATTTATCTTGGTGACTAAGAAATAGTTTTACACATTAAGAACTAAAAACAAGTTTAAGAAATTGCTTTTCAAACTGAGTGTACTACCCTTTTCTTAACTTAACATGAGGATGGACCTAGTTCCTAATGACTGAAAATGAAGAAACTTGTTACCCACCTAATTCAACTTAGATAGCAATCCATGGGTTGAGGGGTGTCACAAAATACTTGTTAAGAAATAGCAAAAATAGGAAATTGCATTAGAAATATCTTTAGACAAAATTATTCACTATTGGATCAAGACCTCATGGTGAATTACTGAAATGAATTGGACTGAAGTTACCCATAATTCACAAAGTCCTTTGATTTTAAGGATTTATTGCAGATCACAGATTTAGAGATCTGTTTTAAGGATCTGATTAATTCTGGATCTGACCCATTGAATAGAGAAAATACTTGGAAAGGGTTCCCTCCCCCAAACTAATCAGAAAATATTTCAGATAGATAGATAGATAGATAGATAGATAGATAGATAGATAGATAGATAGATAGATAGATAGATAAAATTTAATTAGGCTACAGCTGTTCCCATGTGAAGAAATACTTGTGGTGGTGTGCACACATATTCTCTCAATATAGCAGGTATTAATTCTTTCAGCATAAAGAGATAAAGAAGTGCTAAGAAGTGCTGATAAAACCCAGCCTTCTCCAAAAGAACAAGGGAAGTTTTTTTAAAAATGCACCTGCATCTTCTTGCACAAAGAACACAAAGTACAGAACTGGGAATGCTTGAACTTGTTGAGAGGAGCCTAAGCACAGACGCAAACTGTTCAGCATACAAATCTGTCATGTCAACTTGTACACATCCATCTCGTAAATCATTCCAATGTCCAACAGATATTTTGTTATTGCCTAATGCAGTTTCTTCCTATTTGTTTCTCTCTGGGAAGAAAGAACAGAGGTATCTGTCTGTTCCTATCAAGTCAGTCCCTTCTTCTATCTAGCTCGGTAGCTTCTATTCCAGCAGTTCTTTAAGGTTTCAGATGGGGACTTTTCCAACGATCTGCAGACACCTAGGACCTCAGCATGTACAAAGAATGTAGTCTATTGTGATAGTTAATCTCAACATCCATGTCTCAAAAGAACTACTGCATGTATCAAAAGGGAAGGGACTTCTGTTGCTGCACCTTACACAGCTGACAGGGAAAGCTCTCCGAAAATTAGAACAGGATCTTGCTTCTGCTCCTCTGAAGCTGATGAGGTTGACTCAAGGACACCCCCCTCCATTGCACATGTCGTTGCCTAGTTAATTTTCCTTTCAGATGAAAATCTGATCTTTATTCCAACAAGGGGGAGGGGGGAAAGAAACCCAGTGGTGAAATTGGATTACTTTCGACTCTGGATATTCAGCCCTCATTGATAGATAGATAGATAGATAGATAGATAGATAGATAGATAGATAGATAGATAGACAGACAGACAGACAGACAGACAGACAGACAGACAGACAATCTCTCTTATTTTACAATGAGGTACGCAATCTAAGATATCCCAAACCCTGGACTAGAACTGCCTGCATGTCTAGGAAGCATGGCCAACTATAATGAATGCTAGGTAAGTTCGGCAACTTCATGAGTGTCACTTTTTGTCTATCCCTGCAGTATCACTGTTGTAGGTCTTACTGTTGGTTCTGCTGAGTGGGACCCTGAACCTGTTCCCTCAGCCCTGCCTGGAAGGCAGACCTAAAAAGATACTCACAAACAACTGCTTTGTTTCATTACTGAATGGCAAACAAGAGGGAAAAGTCTATATATCTTTTATTAAATAACAGCTTCTTAAAAAATGCAGTATGCTGTCACTCAATTAGTCACTTGTGTGTTTAGTCCACCCAGCAATAAGAAATACTAGATTTCAATGAAAACATGCATATTAAAATTAAATCAATGCAGGCAATCATGCCATATTTTCCTCCCTGTAACTAAAGCCGTTTCAAATAAAAGTGTCTTTAATGCTGATGAAAACGCCATACTGTTCATCATTAGGTAAATGCATCCTTTGTTTTCATTATCTATTCCCAGCACTTCTGGATTTATTTAGTAATTCTAAATACATTTAGAATTTACTTAGAAATTCTATTTATCAAGATACAACTGCTACCAAAGTGGCTTACAAATGACAATTAGATTTTTAAAAAAGAGAAAAATCTGAGCTCCTTCCCCCAGAGGGAAGTTACATGTCCTGGAGGGAAAAGAAGGTAGAGTGCACCTAGAACAAGCTTCTGAGTTAGTCTCTGTCTGCCTTTCCCACTCTTTTCTGCAACCATGCTCTTGGCCTGTGCAAGTAGTGTTAAGAAGCAAGCCACATGAAATAAAACAGTATGATTACAATGGAAAGCTTTCCTCCATTTCTTCTCAAATTATAACATTATGTGCGAGGTCAGGAATGACTTGTCATTCCACACAAGAACATTTTTACTGGAAGATGAGGATATCTTGGAACTTCGGGGGCAGGGGGAGGGAGAGATCACATTTTGTGTAGTCTAATAATTATGTTCAGAGTAACTCCAAAGGCAGGAGCATTTCAGATTTTGCAAAGGTAGTAGGCAGAGAAGAATGTGTCCAAAAATTAAAACAAAATTGGAAAGGCTGCTGTAATGAGGAGATAATTTCATAAATGGTCTCTATTTCCTAAAAGGACATGAGAAATAAGCTAACAACTATCCAAGCTGTTTGATTACTAGTCCAAAAATGGATTAAGAACCTGTTTGACTAGAATGTAGGTACAGTATGTTTATTATAAGAGTAAAACCAGACCTATCCTACTCTAACACAAATACATACAAACTACCATTGTTAAAATATTGAAGGTAGCATTTTATTTAGTTCACCAAATTTCCCAAGAGAGCTAAGGATTCCACATATTGTTCAGTATTTATTTATCAAATTTATATAGCTGCCCATCTCACAAATGTGAATCTGGGGGGTGTACAATAAAACCAACAATTAAAACAGTCTTAAATAACCATTGAAAACAGGAAGCAGTAATTAGTAATATTATATAGTAGAAGAAGTCAACACATTTGCATGTGACTTATTCAAGATTTTCTTCCGCAAGCATTTTCATTTACAATCATAAAGACTTCAAGCAGATAATGAACAGCTGGGACACTCAAGGATAAATGAAGGGCCTGTCTAATTAAGCAGATTAATGAGACTTTTGATTAAGAATAAGCACTAACTCGTTCTGAACATCTATTTTTAGAAGCCAATCCCCAATATATAGCCAAACCACACTTGCTGAAAAGGAAAGAGAAGGTAATGAGAAGATTAATGGTGCTGAAAGGAGTTCACCTGATAACTTTTTCATGAGAGATTTGAGTGTAATTATTGTGCTATGTTGTGCTGTAATATAACAATGTTAGAGTCTAAAAAAGCAGGTAATTATTATCCCAGCTGTTCACATAACTATGAAGTTCCCTTTCACATTTTTATTTACTCAAGAGGGCTACCGCAATTCCTCCTTGGAAGATTTGAGAGACAAAGATTTAAGTCCATCTGAACTCTTCCATGTGAAATCAGTGAGACATAACAAAGTGCAAATTAAACTCCAAAATTGTTGCAGGTCTCTTTTATTCAGATTGTAGTTGCTTTTGTCTGGTATCTATCTGTTCTTTGCTCACTGAGATTGCCTTGTGACTGATTTGAAGGAGAAAGGATAAACTCAAGGGGATTTTGACACCAAGTTCCCAATGTTTACATCTATAGTTCAATAACTCTGTTCCAAGGAACAACTCACTGAGAAAGCACTTGCTTTGCACACAAGGTCAGCATCTCCAAGTCAGGCTGGGAAAGATCCTGACTTCAGTGCTGATCAACACACACAATAATAAATTCAGATAGCTTGACTCTGAATAAATGGGAGACATACAAATTAGTTAATTAAATAATTAATTAAATAATTAATTAAATAAATAAATGTCTTCCTATATTGATGTTTCCTAATATAAGGAAAAACATGAATGGGTCATTTTGTAATCAGTTTTTTGAAATCTGAATGCTGACTGTTTGTGACAATTGAAAGAGAATCTTGCAGTCAGAAAACATGGAATACCACAAACAATATTTCAGAACATCACTTTTGCCATATTCAATAATTGAATTTGCTAGAAATAGAGAGGCAGAAATTCTGAAGTTGATTTTTATTCTTCATATGAGGGGCTTTATCCATTTAAAAGGAAAACTGTGTCTGAGATCTAATGCAACTGGATTAAAAAAAATCAATAAAAATGTTTTCAACAGTTTCATTATATCTGTGTGTGTTTACTGTTTTTGGCATTCTCAAATACATTGAACAGATCAAATCCATAATCACAACGGCAGCATTATTTTCTGCAAACTGCGTAAGACGAAGAAGCAGAACCACAGTAGACTGCCAAATGTAGTGAGTGAGTGCAAGGTTAAGCTGAAAGATCAAACAAATATTTGTTGCTACCCTGTTTGGAAAACATAAGAAGATAGATCCTACATGTGGTACTCATGCTCCAAAATCTAATATTCAGTGTGAATGGAGACAGTGACACAAAATGGTTCTGGAACAATGGTTCTGGAACAATGGTTCTGGAATTTCCAGCCAGGATGGCCATTGCCGAGTCTCCTGGGAATTCTTCTAGTAGCAGTTCTGGAAGATTAGGATAAAATATTGTGTGGCTAACAGGGATGGAATAGTGGGCAGATAACCATGTATATTGCTGTAAAGAACATGGAAGGAGAGTTGGTTAAAATAAAGTTAATTTAAAAAGCAGTAATAAGAAAGTTGAGTCCTTACCGTTAAGGAGAGGGCCATGCAGACAAAAGTGAACTTTTTGATGTGTGTTCCTGTGACGGTACTGCTGGTATTCACCATTTTATTACTGGGATTGTTCTAAGGTGAAAGGGAGAAAAAACAGTACCATTAACCTCAGTGGAGCAATTGTATTATTGTTCAGTGGCAAAATCAGTAGACTTTGTAGATCCAATCTCTACTTACGCATTCCTTCAGATGAATTTAATGTTAAATAAATTTGTATTGGGAATCTTCAGAAAGTAAATTCTTTGCTGGCAAGAATTTGCCAAGGTAAAACACAACGATGTCCAATGAAATAGGTTTTGCTTCTGAAAGCAATAACTTAGTTCCACAACACTGCTGCGCTTGCATGATGAAGGAGCAAAAAAAAAGTTGGCTGTGCTTTTGCTTATTGCAGATAGCAGCCACAAACGTGTGATGCTGCTTTCTATATACCCACATCATTTCTTTCTAATGGGAATCAAAATGAACTGCATCCCATATGCTTACAGAAGGCATTTGCAATAGTTCATGATTAGGATCCCGTCATGTATGAAGGCCTCTGAATCTGAGCCACAGGCAGAATCTCTTCCATTCAATAAACTAAAGCTTTTCACGTAGCTATGGAACAATAGCTTTGAACATTTTGCAGCATAAGTGATAATACTGACTTAGTGGGACTTACTCTATAGATTGGTTACTGCCACTGAATGCAACTTCTAAACAGAACGCATATGAGAGATGCGAGGATGTTTTTCTATGCCAGCCACTGCTGTACAAATTGGTCAGAGATCATTAACTTTCTCCATGCACCTTCTCTCCAATTCCCTACTCTTTAATGGGAATTTAAACAGACCAACCCTGCAGTTTGAGGCAGCAAGATGTTACTGCAGATGCTGAACACACAATAAACTTTTATTTATTTATTATTGTTGGTCTGCCTTCTTATAATATACTTATTGAATTTCCAGGCAAAATTTTCCATACTGCTAGAGACCTATAAGTCCAATCTGACCCATATAACAGCATTTGTTGTCATACAGAAATATCCTCCCACCCCTCCCTGATGATTTAAATCACTAGAGCAACCCTGACTCACCCTTACTTCTAATTAGCAATAGAAGTAACCTACAGAAAATGAATGTCTGAACACCTGGTTTTTATTCACTCTAATGATTTGTACACAGGCTAAGTGATTTGATGTTCTGTTCTGCACAAAAAAATTCCAGATATCACTATGCAAACATTAAAAAAAAAACAAAAAAAACCTCCTCTCTCTCCCTGAACCCACCCTCCATCTACATGGGCAGATGGAGCTTCTGAAACAGAAGAAAGTGTGCATATAAGAACAGCTGAAGCAGTGATGTCATTCTTAAAGGGAGCTATGGATAAAAGGAAGCTAAGGGACACATGCACTTTTAGTGTGCATGTGTACATACATCTTTGTGCATTGTTTTCTTATTTTATTATTTGTGTGTCAGAGACTCAAGGAAAAAGAAAGCTTAATAGCTCTTTTACAGGGTACATAGTAAGAGAAAGGGAAAGTTTCTTGTCCAACACAGATTGTTGGGGCTTTTTACATGTCCCACTGCACCTTTGTGCTCCATCCTCTGTTAACACACAGGGACACAACAGAGGAACAATCATCTTACAATTTCTAAGCCAGTGTTGTCCAAGCTTGGCCACTTTAAGATGAGTGGACTTCAACTCCCAGAATTC